CGCAAACCATTCCGCATTCCCGCGCGCCTGGTTCGACCATACGACGAACCATGAATTTAAGTCAGCGCATGAAATTTACGTTTGTTTAGTGCAAAGTTAAATTCAAAATTTAAGTACAAAATCAAGTATACATGTCAAACTTAAGTCCGGAAGTCACGAATTTAAGTACAAACGCAAGTAAAATTCCAGACGGCTGGTTTGCACATGTTTTTTTTTGTACTTGGCGCTACAAGTAAACATGTACAATTTAAGAGTAGCGGCGAGCGCCAGCGAACCCAGACCATTCGTCGATTCAGTCGGGTGGAACCACCGCGTGTCGTGGGTATTGGCGCCCATAATAGCACTGCAGCTGTACACTTGTATTACACCAGCAGCGCGGGGCTCCGACATTTTGCAAAGTCCCCCCCCCCCTCCCGCCGCTCCGCGTCCCGCGAGCCCTCAGGTTGTTGGCAGGGATCTCATGCGCCACCAGCAGCGGGGAGCTTCGAATTTTGCAAAGTACCCCCCCCCCCCCCCCCCACCCCCGAGCCCTCAGGATTCTGGCGAAGTCCACCACCCACGCGCCCGCGTCTCGCGAGCCCTCAGCATTTGTGTCCGCCACCACCCGCCCGCCCCTCCCCCCCCCCCCCCCCCTTTCCCCGCGCACATGCCCGCCCCCCTCTCTGAATAGGGAGGGGCCCGAGGGGCGGGGTGGTGATGGGTGGGTTGGTGGGCAGGGATGAAGTGGTGTGGGTGGGTGTGGTGGGGTGGGGTGGTGGGGTGGGGGTTGGGGCAGGTGCTTTGGGGCGGCAGATTGTGCCCGCGCGCGCGTGTGTGTGTGCGTGTGCGTGCGCGCGCGCGCGTGCGTGCGTGCGTGGCGGGGGGCGGCGGGGGGGCGGGGGGAGAGGCGGGAAGGTGTGCGGGCGGCAGGAACTCACATCGCGTCGTAAGGTGCCCCATAGCCACCCAGTTGGGCTGCGGTGCTGCGCCATCCAGCCAGGGTTCCGATAGCCCCCTCAGCCATGACCCGCACAGCCCCCCCCCCCCCACCCTCCCCCCCATTCCGCGCGCGCCTGCCGCCATCCGCCTCTCCCGAATGTGGGGGTGCGGGGCAGGGGGCTGGAGTCCATGGGGCTGGTGCTTGTGAGCGGAAGAGGAAGATGTATAGCGATGGAGAGAGTGCGCGCGTGGGGGCGGGGGGGGGGTGAGAGGGGGGGCGCGGGGGGGCGGGGCGGGAGGCCGGTGGGCGCGGGGCGCGATGCGAGAGAGGCAGGTGGGACGAGCAGAGTGCGTCGGGGAGGGGTGGTGGGAGTGTCAATGGTTTGCTGCTGCGGTGCGGGCTATTTGTTTTGGGCGGCTCGCGCAGGGTTGCGGCATCAGCAGTGGGTTGCCAGGCGGAGCCCTCGGCCAGCGGGGCGGCGGCCTTGGGCTGGGGGTGGTGGTGGTGGTGGTGGGGGGGGGGCTTGCCCTGGGCAGCAGCATGCGGGGCCGCTGGCTTCGGGCGTTGCCGCAAGGTGCGCGGCTGCGGCCCGCGCTCGGCGACGCGTGGCTGCGTGTCAGAGGGGCGGGCCTGGGGCGGCACGCCGTGTGCCTTGCGCGGCGCCCCGCGGGCAGCGGGCCGAGTGTTCGCGAGCTGCGCGGTGCGTCCGTGGGGCTGATCCATGATGTCACATCCGCGCGAGCGTCCTGGCCTTCACGTGCGCGCAGCGCCATCGTATACGAATGCCGCCCTTGTCACGGTGCGGCGAGTTGGATTTGGCGGCGCGCACCGCGGCTGAGGGCGCCGATGGCATATCCCCCACCCCTCGGCATAGGGGCGCGGCTGCGGATCGCGGCAACGATTGTAATAATTGCGCGCGTCCGTTCGAGCCTTGAGCGACGGGTTGCGTGGAGGTGCCTGCTCTCCAAGCAGTGACTCGATACGTCTTCGCCTTGGCCATTGGTCATCGCTCGGCGGGGGCAGTTGCGCTGGGCCATGAGGCCAATGGCCGAGTCCGTGGGCACGCGTCGTGACGCGCGGGCGCAGTGCCATCGGGGCCGAGCGTTGAAGGTTCAGCAGCGCTCGCAGCGCCTGGCTCTCCGCCACGAGCCTGCGTCCGCTGACTCTGGCGCCAGGGCGACGGCGAACGCCGCTGGCCTCGCGCGCAGGGCCGAGTGTGCTGCCCAGCGAGCGCGTTGTTTCTTGCCACCGTTTGCGGCTATGCCCGCTGGGTTGGAGCTTCGGGCCATCGCCCGCGGGGTCTTGCCCGACGCCCTCGCCGCTCATCTGCGGGCTCCGAGCCGAGCTGTGAAAGCGGTGTCTGAAGCGCGTGTGGCGCGATGCGCCGAGCAACGTGCTTAACGTGGTTTGGACCGCGACACTTCGCGATCGAGACCGCGACCACGCTACTGCGGTGGCCATTCGCTGTTCGACCATTTGGCCCTTCTGCGGCGCGCCCAGGACGCAGAGCGCGGGGGGCGCAGTGCGTCGACAAAGCCGCCTACCATCAACCATGGACTCGGCGCTGGTGTCGTCTCGCACGCGCGCGTGCGTCGAGACGCCATGGTCGCCGACGTCGAGCCCCCGACTTCCTGTAATAGGCGCTGGGCGCTGCGCCTGCAGCTTGTCGCCGCCGAGCGCATGCGTCGAAGTGCGCGCGTTGACCCTCAGCGGCGAGCTGCTCGCGTATGCGGGCGCTGCGCGCTGCCCGCAGCTTTCTCGCGTGAGCCTTACAACCGCGGGCCGCAAGGGCGGGGCATTGGGGCCTGGCCCTTGCGCCCTTGCGATGTGGCAGCGTGGTCAGGGCAGGGTAATCGGCCTGGCCAACGGGCTGCGCGCAGCCTGGCGTGGGCGGTGGCAACTGCGTCGCGGGCCACGCGCCATGGAAGCGCCTCGTCGACCACATGGCCCAGGCGTTCCTTGGCGATACGCCCCTGGCAGCGCCTTTTGGCGCGCGCCGTCGACAGTCGAACAGAGAGCGCCTCGCTGCATCTGGCGAGTCACTTTGGCGATGGAGGCTCGCAGGGCAGAACGCGGCGGGGGCCTGAGACGGGGGGGGAGGGGCGGGGGGGGGGCGGGGGCGGTGAGGTGCGAGTGGGCGGGGTGGGTGCGTGAACTGGCGCGCGCGCGGGCGCGCGCGCGGGCACGTGGCGGCGCCTGCGCGCCACCGTAGGTTCGTTTTACCCCGCATGGCATCGGCGCCCGCGCGTCGCCATCGTACGGGGTAGAACTCAACGACGCACCCTGCATTGCACTTGCTTGTCGTTTGCAGCGTCTCGTTGCCCCAGTGGCGCGGGCGCGCATCGGCAATGCGCGATATTTGTCACGCGCACGTGCCAGCGCCTGCTCGCGTCCGCGCCCATCGCGCTCCATGGGGCGCGCGGCAGTTTTTTTTTTCCGCAAGTCTTAACACGTAGCAGCACAAACGCGTTCTAATGGACGCACGCGGGCATCACGCTTTCGCTTGTCTACTGGGCAGGCGGCGGATATTTTACGTTGGGCTCCTCTGCGCGTGGACAGTCTTGGGGCCTTCTCTGGCCGTCTTGGGCGCCGCTTGGGCCATCTTGGCGCTCTCTTGGGTCGCCTTGGTGCGTTCTTAGGGGGCTGATTCTTGGGCCGTCTGAGGGCGGTCGGCCTCTTGGGCCGTCTTGGAGCGTCGGGAAGAAGAAACGTGCGTGCGTTTGCGATGGGCTTTCCTCCTCCTTTCCCCCTCCTCCTCCTCCCTCTTCCTCCTCCTCCACCGAGTCCACCTCCTTCTCCCTCACCCCTCCTACTCCCCCTTCCTCCCTCCTCCTCCTCCCTCCTCCTTCTCCCTCCCCCCCCCCCCCCCCCTCCTCCTCCTCCTCATCCTCTTCCTCTCCTTCCTCGCTTCCAGGGTTGCGGGGCCCAGCGTCGCTGCGCGACGCGGGGGTGGGGAGGGAAGGGGGGGGGGGGGGGGGCATGAGCAACGGGAGGGGGAGGAGGGGGGGAGGGGATGGATGGGGGGAAGGGTGAGGAGGGGGAGGAGGAGGAGGTGTTTTGTTGTGAGGGGTGGCGGGTCTCCAGCAGGGCCCTAGCAGCACCCTGGTAGGACCGTAGTAGTCCCCAGCAGGGCCCCAGCAGGGCCCCAGCAGGACCTTAGCAGGGCCTTAGTAGGACCCTAGTGGGATCCTCGTAGGACCCTTGCAGGCGCCTAGCAGGGCCCTATCAGGACCCCAGTAGGACCCTGTCATGTCCCTAGCAGGACCCTAACACGGGCCATGAGCAACCGAACGAGGGGAGGGGGCGAGAGCAGCAGGGGCAGCCGCTACCCTTACAGGCGGTCTTCGCCAACCATTCGTGCTCTTTGTGTCACAGGCCCTCTGAACAGTAGCCATGGGTTGCAGGTGGTTGCCGATGTCATAGCATTCGGTTACACGTAACCTTCCATCAGTTCATATTTCCATATATCGTCCTAACCGCCTTCGGCGAATCCACGCCTTCCCCAGGGGCCGAGGGACAAAGTGTGCGCAGTGCGTTGGCCTGGGTCACTGAGTGTTCGAACTGCATGCCCGTTGACGCCGAGCGCCCTTCCTTCCTGGTCGGCCCTGCCCTTCCTGTCCTGGGCGGCCCTGCCCTGGACGGCCCTACCCTTCCTGTCCCTGGACGGCCCCGCCCTTCCTGTCCTGGACGGCCCTGCCATTTTCGTTTGGGCATTCCCTGGTCGGCCCTGCCCTTCCTGTCTTGGACGGCCCTATCTACCCTCCTGGGTGCCAGGGTTTCTGAGTGGCCAGGTCGGTTGCGCCACCCGGAGGCGCTGTCGGATTCGTTCGCGGACTCAGCCTGCTCGCCGCTCAATGTCTAAGAGGGCGGACTCAGGAGCAGAGGGCTCCCCCAAACGGCAGAGGGTTCTTACAGTGTTGACGTGCGCTGAGCTTGCTTGAGGAAGAGTAATATGTCTGGAGTTACCTGGGCCGACACATGCACCGCAAAGGGCACTGGCACCAAGTTGCCGAAGGGACCTGCGTGCAGTAAATGCTGGGGCATATACAACGATTGCTTCTCACACCTTGGATATTTCGAGGAGGTGGCCCAGATGAAGAATGACAAAGATGTGAACGTCGGCGAGCACTGGGCTATCGCGGAAGGGGTGATTGGAGGCGATGCCAAAGACGTCATCCAGACAGACGTGGTTGCTTCGAGCTGCAATTCCATCGACATGGAGTACTCGCTCGTCGGCCTGACCAAGGCAGAGTTCAAATCGCACTTCGGCAAAACACCTGAGGAGTGCGACATCAAGCTGAGGGACCTTCCGAGACCAAATGGATCCATGTTCAAGGGTGTGCTTATGAGGAACCCGATGGCCCCATGGGTTACATGCACCGTCAAGTCGACGCGCGGCGCGAGCTCGAAACGTCTCGAGCTGGAGGGTTCTCAGCAGAAGTTCGAGCAGCAGGCCGTTCAGATCAGCAAGCTCAAGATTAACGAGATGGAGAAGGATAAGCTTGTGACAGCGATGCGGAACTGCACGGTGACCCAAGAGGGGATCCTTGCGAAGTTGGTGCAGATGGGCGCCCCTATTCATGATCGGTCAGTCCTCGGTGCTGTTGGCCCTCCTGCCGCCGTGCAAGCAGCAGTGCAGCCTGCGGGGCCAGAGGGGGCGAATGGCAGCGAGCCCGAGAGCGTCTCGATCGAGGAGATTGATGATGAGGAGCCTGTGCCTTCCCCACTGCCCCAGCAGTCACCAGATGCGAGGAGTGCAGCGGCGAGTTGTCTAGGACTAAGTGGTCGTCGTCCCAGTGGCGGTGGTACTCCTTCTGGAGCTCGCAGCGTCGTCGGGGCGCTCGCTGGCAATGCGAGGCAGGCCGCCCCGAGGAACGAGACTCCCCAGGACCTTGTGGCCAGGAAGAAGGCTTCCCTTCCGATCGAGCAGATGCTGGCCAGCAAAAAGTCGCACGGCACGCAGATCCGTTTCGCCAACGCTGCGTTGAAGATTGTCAAGGATAAGGGGCTCACGGCTTTGCACGACGAGCTCAAGGACCACATCCAGCTAGCTGTTGCAGCACATTGGTTCTGTGAGAACAGCCTCAGGTCGACAGAGTGGACAGAGATCGTGAAGAGGACCGGCGTCCTGCACGAGAACGAGGTCGACTTCCCGTCTGCGTTCAAGGAGGAGCTTCACGACAGGAAGACCCAGGAGATCATCAAGAATGACAAGATCGACGTCATCGAGTGCACTGCTGTGCTGGCCGTGGCGAAGGACCACTTGACGTTCGATCCATATGTCTGCCCATCGGGGGCTTGGATGGATCCAACCTCGACAAGGCTGCCAAGCTCCTGTCCGACTTCTACGTTTCCGTCGGGCACTACATCGATGGCGGTAGCGACAAGTGCGGGGACCTGATCGAATTCTCGGGGAAGGCGCAGAGCTCCCTCACTGCTGACCTCGACAACCTCCCAGAGGAGATGGACGCCGTGGCATCGGAATTGGAGTTCGTGCACAAGTGTTTTCGGATGATGGGCGATGGTGACGTTGACTGCCTCGAGAGCATCGTCGAACTGAACAACATCAATGTCAAGGACAACAAGCGTGAATGTAGTAGCAAACGTGCCTTTGCCAAAAGCGTGCGGAAATCTCCCTTCTGGTGCGCGCGGCTGAAGGATGTCATCAAGTACAAGGATGGAATCGAGAAGCACGTGCCGAACATGAAGGCCGTGAAGAAGTTCGCGTACAAGGGCCAAGACCTTCCTGACGATTTCTTCGCGGCCACAGCGCAGCAAGCTTTCGATGAAGCGACTGTCTTGCGCGAGATCAGGTACCAAGTGCCAAGCTGGATGATCAATGACTTTCTTGATGCAGTCGACGAGAACATCAAGAACATGCACAAGATTTGGTGGACTACTAGGGGTCATGCTGGCGCGACCAGTGATGAATTGTCGCATTGGTCGAGGGTGGTCAGTGTTGCCCAGCTGGCTTTACCGACATCGTCGAGTACGTGGGCGGCAATGTGGGCAGACATCAAGGCTGCCAGCGAGCGCACTGACAAGGCCAACGCACTGAAGCGCCTGACTGCAATCATACAGGAAGACCTGACGGGAGACCCAATGCCAGAGAAAGACGTCGACGCGATGGATGAGGCTCTCACCTTCCTCCTGTCAAAGAGCTCATGCGGCGACGGCTCCGACTTACCTGGGTTATCAGACGAACAGAGCAGGGCCGTATTGCGGTCAACCACTGGCCATTGCATGACGCATGCCAACACATTCAAGCCGAGGGAGCAGCGCCAGCTCAAGATTGCCAGCTTCGTGTGTCGGTTGGTTGACGTCTTTGGGGATCTCGGCAAGATTTCGGCAGGCGAAGCTAAACTCATGAAGGAGTGGACAGACAGCCTTCACAACACGATCAACGAGTACTTCCAGATGGGCGCCACAACGAAGGAGAGGATCCAGAAGGACGTCGATTGCAAGGCCTTTCGGGCGGCCTTCCAGGCCGTGGAACGTTCCGATGAGCTTTACAAGAACACGACCAAAGATGAGAAGAACGCATTGGTGAGCGAAGCCCTCGGGATCAAAGCCCATCTGCTGGATGACAAGGACAGCGTGATCACTTCATCGCATCAGCCCGTGTTGTCTGCCCTCGCCAGCCTGAAGACCATGTACAAAGGTGGAGGGGACGGCACGTCGTGGGCGGGTGGCTTCAACGGCAAAACGAAAGCGGCGCTCTTGAAACACGCAGATGCCACGTTGATGGAGTTCAACGGAGACGAGCCCAAGACCCGCAACGATGCATTGAAGAGCCACTTCGAGCATTACGGGGCCACCTTGAACACGTTCAAGACACCGATGCCAGCCGATGACGCCAAGGCGGTGACCGACGCGATCACGATCGCGGAGAGGACGATGCAGGAGGCCATCTGCATCCACGCGCTCAAGGGCGAGACGGGGAGCGAGGTGGGCCGCCGCCGCAAGATGAAGCCGCTCTTCCAGAAGCTCGAGACCTTCGAGGGCGCCAACGAGGTCCTCCTGTCGGTGATGTCGGCGGCGCTCGGCGCGCAGCCGAAAGCGAAGGCCTAGGGGCCTCGACTCTCCTGAACAGTGGCGCTTGGCGCCTCCGAGGGCTCCCACTCGGTGGAAAGCAAGATGCGGAGAGAACGGGTGGTGACGAGGGAGGATGGCAACTAGAAAGATGATGACAACATGCGAAGAAGAAGGGGAGGGGATCATGAGAAGGAGAGTGGAGGGTGATGAGGAGGATGGGGAGGGCAGGGATGAGGAGGGATGAGGCTGAGACGGAGGAGGGGTGGCGAATGCCAGGGGGGGGGGCGAGGACGACGAGAAGAACGAATGAGAGGTGGGGGAGGGAGGGCAGAGGACGGAGGACGAGAGGGCGATGGGGAGGGGGGTTGATGTAAGGTCGTGACCCGTCCCTTCTGGCTTCTACTTTTTCTTATCCCCTGGCCTTTACTTATCATTGCCCCTCTTTCCCCCACTCCTCCCTCGTCTCTTTCGACCTTTTTCCTCCCTCCTCCCCCCCTCCCTCTCCCCCTTTTTCCCTCTCCCTCTCTCTCTTCCCCATTCCCTCTCTCCCCCGTCTCCCTTCTCCCTCCTTCGCCTCCCCCCTTCACCCTCCTCTCCGCGCAGTCCCCTCTCGCCGTCCCTCCCTCATTCCCTTGCGTCTCTCCTTCCCTCTCCACCTCCTCCTCTTCCTCCTACTTTTTACACAATAGCGCGGCGGTTGCGACGACCCAAGCACGCAATGCACGAGATGCCAGGTTCGCCAGGCCAACCTGAGTCTGATGTTTCAGGCTCAACGTCCGTCCCGATTCTTATGTGGTAGCGGAGCTGTCCTCGTTCGCGCTGTCCTGGCGCGCAGCACTTTTGGTGTCGTGACGCGGCTTTCGGAGTGAAGCCGTCGTCTTGAGACGGGTGCTCCATCGAGGGAGGCGCCCCGACCGACTGCTAGCCGTGTCATCGGCAATGTTGAAAGTTACCGATGTCCTCGCGAATGGCCTGCCAACGTTGCTCTCGTGCGCACGGACCCACATAGGCAATATCGCCGTGGGCACTATCGTTTCTGCTCTGGAAGCACCATGTGCTCTGATGCGCCACTCGAGCCCCCCCCCGCGGGATTTCCGATGATCGCGCTCGTGGGTGCTGAAGTTGCCGAGCCGATTCGCATGCCCTGGTCGAATATTTGGAAAACCAGCTGAAGAATTTCAAGAACGAACGCACGAAGTCGTTCGTACCCCGATTCGTGTTTTTAGTATGTTTTCCTATGTTTTGTTAAACCTCTGTGTAGCCCTGTAGCGACACCTTAACCCAAGAGCCCCGCCTCGCGCCACTCGTCAACCCGCGGCCGTCAGATCCCCAGGTCCCCTGGTATCCTCGAGATCCCCGCCTCGCGCCACTCTGCAACCCGCAGCCGCCAGATACCCAGGTCCCCGAGTGTCCTCGAGAGTCCCGCCTCGCGCCGATCTGCAAACCGCGGCCGCCAGATCCCCAGGTCTCCCAAGTGTCCCCGAGTGTCCCGCGTCGCGCCGACAAATCAAACCATAACATAGTGACACTATTCAATAGCAGAGCGTCGTAAAGCACAACGTTTTAAACGATGACATAACATAGCTTAACACCACACCACCTACCAGAACATTTCCGGGCAGAACATGCCATACCATGACAGAACATACCGTACCATAACACACCACAGCATCACAACACCTAGTATTCCATAGCACGGCGTAGCAGACATACCACAAGGACACGTCGCATAATTGGACATGCCAAAGCAGCACATGCCACACCCTCACATTGTACGACATATCACACCATACCACACAACAGCATACCAACCGAACACATCATATTGTAACACTGTATAGCAGCACTGGGCATCACATACCATGTCATGGCATACCACGCCACAACAAAACACACGAACATCGCGCATATAACAGGACATATCGCATCGCAGCACAGACGGCAACACAACATGCAAGAGCGCGACATAATATGTTACACCGTAGCCGAACATAACACAGCATAGCGCCATACGCTATGACATAATGGCTCTTACAGAACCGCGCATCGCACCACACCTCATAGCATCATATAATAGAGCATGTCATGCCATGGCATGGTATACCATATCATAGCATAGCATACCAGTTAGAAGACATCACGTCGTAGCACAGCATCAATCCATACAGCAGTTCATACAATGACAAGCCAGACCATGACGGAGCGCGGTATAGCACACTGTAGCATAGCATACCATGATATAGCATAACGCCACAACATACCAACGCGTACAATCTCGGACCATTGCAGAACAGGACATAGCAGGACAGGTCATCAAGACGCACGCAATGACATTATGGGGCATACAGAGCATAGCACAACAGCACACAGCAAACCAACACATGCTACAGTACACCATAACATAGCGTAAGAAAATTGAGCATAACATTACACACAGTGGCATCTCATATCACAGTATGACACACACATATATATATATATATATACACATCGTTTCATACCAGGACACATCATACCATCATATTATCACATGGCAGGGCAGGATATATTATCCGAAGCCATATTCTGACCGAGCAGAGCATGACAGAACGCAGCACCGATCACAACATACAGTAGAAATGCATACCACGACATAGCGGAACATAGTGGTGCATACCACCAAATATAAAAAACAACGTATTTGAAGTTTTCCCAACCGTTTTGTGGTGTTGGGCTCCCGTTTTGAAGAGACAGCGCCCCGTGTCCCATTCCTCCTCAGGCTGCCCCATCCCTCCTCTCCTCCGCCTCTCTGCATCTGCCCTCCGCATGTCTCTGTTTCGGCAAGCCACCTCACACGCTTCCTGGCCCCATAGGGATCTCCACCAAAGGCCACAGAGGCAGGATTCGCATGGCGGCCCCGCCCCATTTCGGCACACCCATCACACGTTTTGTGGCCCCATAAGGAGCTCCACCGAAGGCCCCAGTGGCAGGGTTCGCATGGCGGCCCCGCCGTCATTTCGGCGCACCCCTCACACGTGACGTGGCCCCATAGGGAGCTCTTCCGAAGGCCCCAGTGACAGGGTTCGCATGGCGCCCCCGCCCCATTTCGGCGCACCCATCACACGTGTCGTGGCCACATAGGGAGCTCCACCGAAGGCCTAAATTGCAGGGCTCGCATGGCGGCCCCGTTCCATTTCGGCACGCCCCTCACAAGTTTCGCGGCCCCTGAAGGAGCTCCACCGAAGGCCCCAGTGGCAGGGTTCGCATGCCGGCACCGCCCCATTTCGGCACACCCCTCATGCGCTTCGTGGCCAGAGTTCCACCATCCACCAAAGTCCACGGTGGCCGGGTTCGCATGGCTTCCCCGCCCCATTTCGGCACACCCCTCACTCGTTTCGTGTCCCCATAGGGAGCTCCACCGAAGGCCCCAGTGGCAAGGTTCGCATCGCGGCCCCGCCTCATTTCGGCAAACTCCTCACACATTTCGTGGCCCCCCAGGGAGCTCCACCGAAGGCCCTGGTGGCAGGGTTCGCACAGCGACCCCGCCCCACTTCGGCATACCCCTCACACGCTTCGTGGTCCCATAGGGAGCTCCACCGAAGGCTCAGTGGCAGGGTTCGCATGGCGGCCCCGCCGTCATTTCGGCACACCCCTCACGCGTTTCGTGGCCCCATGGGGAACTCCACCGAAGGCGCCAGTGGCAGGGTTCGCATGCCGGCCCCGCCTCATTTGGTTGACAACCCGCACGTTTCGCGGCCTCATAGGGAGCTCCACTGCAGGCCTCAGCGGCAGGGTTCGCATGGCGGTGTCGCCTCCATTTCGGCACACCCGTCACACGCCTCGCAGCCCCATAGGGAGCTCCACCGAAGGCCCCAGTGGCAGGGTTCGTATGCTTTCCTCTGCCTAATTTTAGACACCCCTCACACATTTCTCGGCCCATAAGGAGCTCCGTTAAAGGCCCCAGTGGCAGCGCCCGCATGCGTCTTCCAGCTCGCTTCTGCACACCCCGCCCATGTTTCGGGGTTCCCATCTGCGTTGCCCCGTGCTCCATCCCTCTCGCGGCGCGCTGCCTGTGATGAGAAGGCGACATCCTGCGTTTTCCGCAGCTGCATATGGTTGGGTCCTTCGCCAGGCTGATTCACTATTGGTTCCACGACAGCAGCGAATGTATTCATACATTGTAGGTTTCACCATCTTGCAGAGGATCACATAACGCAGGCCAATGTAATGAACATAGAACAGAGCACAGCATAACCAGCACACCATAGCATAACTCTTGCACTACGGATACGACTACGGAAAAGGCAAAGAGCTAGACATAACACCAGATACTAAACCTTCATTGGAGAGGTACGTCATAACAGAGCAGAGCATCAATTACGACAATGATACCAGCACAACTTAAACAGCACCACTGAGCAACGCATACCATGACATAAACTGATATATACTATCATGTCATGGCCTGGTGCCGCAGAGCATAATAACACGTTTAAGGACAACAGAAATCACAATCGAAGAGGAACGTCATGACATAATACACCGCACTGTAATATTATACGAAGCGACGTGCGCGCAGAGGTCAGGCTGGCCTTTGGATCAAACAGGAGGAGAAACGACCGATTGGACGACGTATCACACGTGACAGGCGTCACGACGTCTCGCCAGATTGCCCTTCCTTCCACCATTACTTATTCTTTTTATGGTTGTACTACTGCTACTACTGCTACTACTACTACGACTACGACTACGACTACTACTACCACTACTACTACTACTACTACTACTACTACTACTACTACTACTACTATTACGACAACTACTACTTCTACTACTACTACTACTACTACTACTACTCCTACTATTTTTACGACTTTACTACTACTGCTACTACCATCACGACTACTATTATTATTACTACTACTACTACTACGATGACTACTACTACTAATAATAATAGTAATAATACTAATGCTAATACTACTACTGCTTCTACTACTACTATAAGTACGGCTATAAGTATGACTACTACTACTGCTACTACCACTACT